TCAGGCTTTGGGTCGTCTCTGTGGATTTCCTAGTGGGTCCTAGCCAACCAGCCTCAAATTCTGCTCTTTAAAAGGGAGGCTTCAACCAGTGTTCTCCTTTCATGTGCATAGGGACAGCTCAAGTAAAAAAAAATATTGATGCGTATGTGGTAAAAACAGCTATGCAGAGAGTAATTGTGTGTGAATTTTGGCTTTGTGCAAGAAAAATTGAAAAAAAATACAGAAACGTTGAAAATTTTCTGTGAAATTGTCCTATTCTGCTCGAAGAATGAATATGCCAAAATACCCACACACGGGATGTTTCATTTTGGACCCAGTAAGGTATTTCAGCCCTCGATATCCACTCACCAGTTAATTCACACGGACACGGTGCACTCCCCGCCATCAGCCAGCCTTCCGCATCTCTGGAGCGATGCCAGCAGGGCATCTCCGTCATCCGTGGGCTATCAAATACAAGGGTTGTTATCAGTGTCCACTAAGTATTAGCTTAAGAGCAAGGGAAGGAATTCATTTAATGTGCACGGGCAGCTTTTAAGTGGTGACACTGTGGCTTAAGAAGTCACCTGGTTTCTAAAGGACATGGTTTCAGAAATACCTCCGCTGTGTATCTCGTAACACAACATAACGATAACCTCCTTATCTGTATCTATCAGACATTTCAGACCACGCATCCACGAAAATCGATTCCACACGTGTTTTGAATTGGCAGCTTTCGCATTTCTGGCAGTCCGGCAGGCAAGCTGCACGGAGAGCTGCTCTGCTGCCGTCGAAGGGTGCAGCGGAGGGAAAAAAAGAGCACAGCAAGCGTGCTCTGGCGTCTTGGATCATCCACGCTGGATTGCCACTCCGTACTTATTTCAAATTATTCGAGCAACAGCATCAACACAAGCTCTGTACACTGAGGTCTTCCAAATCCATGTGTTTTTCCACTGTATATCCAGATTTCTGCCATTAGTTTAGCCTGACCGGGCAGAAGCTTATGTCCTGCGGCCTCGCCCTCCCGGGTCGGCTCCCCGGAGCTGCGCCTTCCTGCGGGTTCAGGAACCAGAGAATCTCCTGTGGAACGACACCGCCGTTAGCAAGAACGGGGAAGGAGCCCGCAGCCCAGACGGCAGGCAGAGGAAAGGGGCCCTCTTCCCCAAGAGATCCCTTTGACCCTCTGGATTATTTTGAGAGCTTTTCTCCAGCCTGGTGGCTGCTGGTGGAAGGAGAATAGAGATCTTCACCGCTTATGCTCTTATAAACGAGAGCTGTTTGAATACCTGGCTTATTTTTCCTGTTGTCTATAAACGCACACACAGTGAACATGAGTTTGAATGAGAATTTTGAGGCTGCTGAGTGAAAAAGAAGCAACTCTTAATAAAAAGAGGCTTGGAAAGGACTGGGCACATGAGGCAAGTCATACAATTATTTTGCTATTCCGTTTCAGCTCTACATCACTGACAGTATTTTCACTCCCTCCACACGACAGACTGTATAGTGTTAATTTTTAACGGAGCGAATCAGAGAAAGACTAGTTTATTTGCTCTCTCTCAAGTTAAGCACAGTTGAATATAAAGCGAAGTTCTAAAACCTGCACTGTTACCAGAGGATGTGTCATGAGTAAATCAATGAATTCACTAAACTGAACCAAAGTGGCGGAGTATTTAGAATAGACTCCTCCATGCACAAGCCTCAGTCTGTTCAAATACCGTACTTCTGTCCTACCCACCCCAAAATCCACCCACAACTCTTACAATTAGCTCTTACTGTAGCCCAGCTTAAATACAAACATTCACGGCACTGAAAACCGCGTTAAGCTTTCCACTTGCTGCAGGCAGAAATGTTTTTTGGTGCTTGCTACTTCAACAAAAGCTACCACCGAGTCTAAACTTCAGGAGCCTTCAGATGGAAAGAGAAACATCCCAATCACCGCATGGAAGCCCTCGAGATACTAAATATTGCCCTGTACTGATTCAACCAACACAGCAGCGTCGCCCTATTTCACCGAGCTCAGACATGCAGCGAGGGCCTTCATCTTCCGCAGGACAGAAAAACCCCTGTCCAGCTGTGAACCGGCCACTTCTCTCAGTATCTTGTTCTGCCTATTTATCCCTATTACACTTTAAAGCCTGGTTTCAAATTTATTTTTGTAACTTACTAAAATCCTGTCACCGCTCTCCTGTCCTCCGCGGTGATGCCACCAGCTACGTAGGAGACTATGGCGGTGTAGAACTTCACCGGGATAACCGCTCATGTCAGGTTTGTACTAAGATATTCTGAGAGAGAAAAAGACAACTCTAATTTTTCTCCTCACCTTTACTAGGAATTCTGTGGAAAGACATTTAGCCCAGTTCCTCACATCTCAGGGCACCTAAGCGACAAATCTTTCTTTCAAGCATTTCTTTAGCCTTTTGACTACCGCAAATGACTCCTAGACTTGCACCGTTTTCAGCATATTCTCCGTGTATACTAAGGTGCTTGCAAACGGAACTACACAAAGATAGCACTGCTCTTGTGCTGCTCAGCATCACAAGTTTTTATGGAATTTATTGCAAAAAAGAAATTCTGGTAATTTTGGTAATGAATTAATAACACCTAGAAGTTAACAGCCTCTCTGAATTGAGAACGATACTACTTCCCACAGAGCAGCACTTTGCTAAGGAGGCAGACGTGACCTTACATACAGTAGCTCTCATCATCTGTGTGTTTCTTTACCCTAGAAAGGAATTCATTTTGTAACAAAAAACAAAACGACTTTCAGTGTTATCAGAAGTATAGTTAATCACACTGTATTCAAGAACTCTTATTTCATAGTAGCAAGTTAATTAATACACAGTATAGCTCTTCTGGTGTGAGGGAAATCGAACCGGAACAGTTCTAGCCTCTCTTGAGAATCAATCTGTATGACAAAATTTTATTTCGAAAAACATCAGGAAATCATACCTCCCCTCAAATTCTGGCATGAAACATTACTATTAGTGAAGTCAAGGCAAAACTCCCACCATCTTCAGTGTGATTTTTGCCTCAGGTTGAAGACATTTGAAAAGCCCCTGTAAAAGCTCTTTAAAGGACAAAACTTTAAAGGATATGAACTCAAAAACCAGTCTCCCAGGCTTAATTTGGATAGCTGCCTGCAGCTCCCACCCCTTATAAAACAGAGCAAGGTGAGTACAGCAAAGTCACCAGAAGAAAAGATAGCGGCAAGAGCCTTCAATATAGTTAAAATATACGTGAATCATTTCACAGAATTTATTTTTCTAATATTTATCCAACAAAGTTTTCCACAACAGTGTACTCTACTGTCCAGTGAGACACTAACCCTCTTCTATCAAATTAGCTAATTTGTGTTCTGAAAAATAATTGTATTTTGTGAACAGACAAGACACATTGCAGCTTCTCAAGTTTTTTTAATCCTCTTGATGGGAATGAGAAAAAAAAAAAAAAATCAATAAAAGACTTTGAAGTAATACAGCTTTCTTGGACAGCAGAGAGGAGGTCAAGCACTTGGGTTCTGGAAATACAGCACAAGTTCCGCAACAAAGCGACAAACAAATCCTGCCTCAACAGCCATACACTTCGACCTCGGAATGTGCACAGGCTGGAGCCAACAGTGATGACAACGACGGCGGGTGAGCAAGATAACCTCTGAATTGCTGGCTCTGTGAGTGAATTTAGAGTAGACAGCACTCACTGTTTCTCCAGTGGAAAGTCTTCCTCACTTCCACCTCCGTGATCCAGCAGAGTTACGGGCTTGCAGCAATCGTTAACAAGGACAGATAACAGGCACTTGGTAAAGGATCTGTTTCTAAACCCATTAAAGCCAATAAAAAGACTTTGGTGATAACTGGCTTAGACCCTGAGTAGGGAATAGAAGTAGTATACAAACCTAGAACAAGGTTTAAATCCATAATTGTTAGTTAACATTGGAAAAAGACACAATGATTAAAATCCCTAGCTATCTGACAGGAAGCTAAACCTCTCAGATCATCGTCTTGTGCAGCCAGTACCCAGACAAAAGTTGCACTAAATTCTGACTAAGTCGAGACGGAAGGCTCATTGTTGCATGAACTTGCACAGCTACTGCAGTGGCGTATTAGCAAACGGCCCCGATAACTGACTGCGATCAGATTAACATCTGGTTGGTTTGTGAGTCTCTGTAGCGAGGCAGCTGACGGAGCTCTGGAATTTCAGGTGCCTTGAGTTTTCTTCACTATTCCCCCTCCAGTAACTTCAACTGACCTGATTGTTTTTATGATACCTGAAGAGACCGACTGGTTTACTGAAACCCTCTTGTTGAAATATTTTTATAATTGATCGTAATTGCAATAATTGATCATAATTGCTCTTTGCGCAGGCATTTCAAAATTCCACAGAGACAAGTCTAAATTGCATCCAAGTACAGGAAAACAATGATGATATCCAAGCATTGCCCTATTATTTTTTTTTCCACAATGTATTTAATGACCTAAGAAAGTTACAAAAGCAACTTTAAATTACATTTACATATATAAACTAATATATGTAGCAAACACTGAGCAAATAAAATCCCAAGCAACATGAAGACAAAGAAACATTGAGATGACTGATTCTAGAGTAATTTAAGACTTTTTACCGAGTCTCTGGATGTAGCAGTCGAGTCAACACTTCCCTACTGAAGTATTACTTGCAGTTAGAGACCACTGAAAGCTTAGCTCATTATTCTCATTTTAGAAAAGCAAATGAGCGATTAGTCCAGCATTAACTTCTGCAGTTTTTATTAAGTTCTATATTCTGGGAGAACAATTTTATTACTTCTTCCACTTTTTTTGCCACTTATTTCAGTAAGTGGCAAAATTCCTAGAAACTTCAGTGGCATCAGGATTTTTAATACTCAGAGCACAGATTTCTTAGACACTGAAAGGCAAAATGGTTAAGAAGTGTGGCTTGTAATATAATATTAAAAAAGGATCTGCAGATAGCTATGTACATGTATGTTTAAACTCATTCAAGATGATGGAAACTCACAGCTTAAAATTAATGTGGCACATAAAGGTATCCGTTTGAATGTTGCCAATTAATATTCCAAGTCACATGCGGTGAACACATATTCACAAAGACTAAAATAAATAACAGCTACTTTATTATCTAAGAATACTTTAAAGTGTGGCATTTCCTGACAATGCTTAGAGAGAATCATCAAGTAAAAGAACGCAAAGGTCATAAGAACTTGTGAAACCCTGATGACTGCTAGTTTCCACTTAGTTTTCTCATGATCGGGCTGTCAGGTTCAGCATTAGTGAAAATACTTCCTACAACCACATGAGTACCCCAGATGTTATGACGAATAACCTTGCAGCAGCCAAGATCATCAACAGAAAATCCCAAGTGGCGGTAGCGTTCATCTGTTTCGAACAGAGTGTTGTTTGTGTAAGGTCCGAAGAACTAGGTGGGAAAAAAAAGAGAATTTTTCACATGAACATTTCCAAGAACATTTAAAATGTCAGAACCACCTCTTTTTAAAACAAAACTTAAGCCCACAAGTACCAGTTACATCTGTTGGAGGAAATTTTATGTACAGTTTTATTCATGAAATCTACACAGGAAACTAAGCAGAGCACCGCTGGTTATACTGGTACCCCATATTTAAAGATTTCCCTTCCTCACTGACAGAGCACTGAACGCGTATCAGTGTGTTTGAATGTCTCATCAATCATACATACAAAAAACCTCAAGTGCTTTGGAAAGGTTCTCCTGCTTCTACAGGCACGAAGGATAGGACCCTTCTGTGAAACAGCAAAAATAAGACACATCCCTTTTCAACGAACCCCCTATAAAGAAAGATGCTTTCAGGAGCAAAACACGTGTGTAAATGGGAAACAGGTATTTCAGTTGTTTTATCTCAGGAGGAAGCTTCTGACCAAAAGCCTACACCTGATGAACAGGTTATCGGTAAGGATGTTCTACTGAATTGGAGCGCAAAGACAGAACCCTACTTTCATCAATCCGTAACCATTCCTTAAACGCATGGAATTTCTGGGAAGCTTTTAAGCACTATACACACCTTCAACTGTCTGTTCACCTTATAAACATCCCCTGTTAAACTTATTTGCCTCTGTTGACACAATAAATCGCTGTTTCATAGTGTTTTTAAATAAAAACCCAATAAACTGAGCTTTTCCATGATTATGTTCTAATATGATATGGTTTTAACAGTTCTCCGACAAAAATACATATACACTCATGCTCCGACAGAAGCTTCCTCAGTTCTCTCGTGTAAGTTTTAAGACTCTCTCTGTTTCACAGATGTCTTGGTAAGAAACCATCAGCTCCTCCAGAGAACTGGTGTCATCTGATAACGAATGCCAACGCTGTTTAATAGGAATAAGCTACTCATATTTTCTATGTAACAAAGATATTCACTAGTGCAAAGAGACTTTCTAAAACCCTCCATCTACACAAATAGGTGTCAGGACTACCAAGTTACCTTGGGAGGGCATAACCAGCCTATTGTGCAGTGACCAAGAGCTTTTAGGCATAAAACTTCCACAGCTATCTAAAATTCAACTTTGCTGCTGAACAACGTTCTCCAAACTGCCAACAGCAATGACAGCCGACACAGCATGGGAACTAGCTCAGGGTTACTATCCTATCTTAATTTATAACAGGAATTATCCTATGGTAACAGCTTTTGGGCAACATGAAAAAGCTGGATTTAACCCATAAAGAATACAAGTACCACTGCTGGTTAGGACATAGCAGCGTCCATTGGATATTCCACACAGCACATAACTTACTGCCAGTCCTGAGGATGGATCAATGAAGTCAGCCCAATAGCCTTCAGAACAAAGTGCATAGCAAATTTCCTTGGCACCGTTAATGAACTTAAAAGAAAATAAAGGGAAAGAAGGATATCAAATAAGATTTTTGTTACATATATATACACATCAGAACACACATAAAATATTCTGAAAATGAACAAGCACAGATTTCTTTTGGCCTCTACTAATAAATGACAAATTCAGCATTCTTTCAATAAAAATATTAATAATATTAAGAGGATTAGAATTAATGGCATACATTAAACTACTCCAATCACATGAGATTTAAAAGTGTTCCTTGTGCCAGTCAGTAATGGATTAACAGCTTGTACAAGGAATAACGTAATTGCTTTGATTATTCATACAGATTGCAATCATACCTGTTATCCTCTTTAAGGAGTCAACCATTACTTCAGGTATTTCTGTGTTATTTCCACGAGTTTACAGATCTCACCTAAACTCCACAAATTTGACACTAAATGTAGCATTAAATATATTTTTATAAATATATGAAAGACAGTTTTGCTGTAAGGTCTTATGTCAGCCAACAGGACAGTATTACGTAGTTCTTCCTGCACTACAAATGTTTAACTGCAAATGACTTTAAAGAACGTTTCAGTTTTGCATCGTGACAGCAAAGAGTTCCATTAGCACTGGACTTTTACACCAATCTACACCAATTCTCTTGTTGTAATGAATCGGTGGGCAGGACGAATGACGATTTCAAACCCTGACTATTTGACAATCCAAGTTGTAGGGCATGTTTCAATTACGCTGGAGGACACCAGCTGATGTTCCTGAAAAGAGTATTTTCAATTAAGCAACATGCCACGAAGTTCCCTGTTCCGTAACACATCATCAAAAACCTCCCTTCTCTGAAGAGACAGCTTAAAGAATCTACTTTTTTTTTTGGTAGCAAATTTTTCACATCAGCTAATTTGAGAAAATAAGTTTGGTTTTTTTGTTGTTGTTTTTTTTTTTTTAAATCTTTGGTGTTGAGTTGCAGTTACTTGTTTGTCAGATACAAGAGAAAATTCAAACAGGTAGATTTAAAGCTGTGCTCCTGTATTCTAACACCACCACACAGGGCACAAAATAATTACACAACCTAAAGATTACACAGCACATTTTTTCCACAGATAAATCAGCAACAACAGGAGACCTCAGTTATCTGCTTTTAATCACCTAGACCAGCAGTTTTCAACCCATGTTATGAGGACTAGCAGGGGCCGATAGAAAACTTCTGAAGAAACCTGCGAAGGTGAGTGAGGGGAAAAAAACCCACCAAAACAAAAACCCCCACAAAAGTCAAGATATGTGATGGTTCTAAAACCACCTATGCACTCTGAAAAAAAGACGTCCAAGCGCAAAAATCTAAACAGCTGAATACACTGAGCTAGAGTAAAGCACAAATTCACATATTCACACTCAAAACATGAAAGAAATTCCCTAATCTCAAAGAGGAAATATTTTTAACGTCAGAATAAATATAATACTTTACTTTCAGCTATAAAAATGGGATTGTTCTCTGTAATTAGTGCCCTTAGCAGCTCAAAGTTTCAAATTTACAGAAATATTATAGTTATTCAGCTTCAGGCCCTTAAACTTCCCATATTTTGGACCATTATTTTTTACAGTAATCTGTTCCGTATTTTGAGATCTGATGGCTCTGATGATTTAACTATGCTTCAACTGTAAATTAAGGCACAAATATAAAGTAAGCCATCTGAAGACAGCATTTTAGGCATTACATTTCTGATACAGTACATCTTTTGATCCAGTGTTGTTACAACCCCTCAGCAATCACTGAAGAGCACGGTTAATAACCACTTGAGATTCACTACTGTAAACATTTCGATTTGGCTGCATATAACCCTCATTACTTTAGCACAAGCCTCTCACATTAAATTAGTATTTTTAAGGTTACTTCTAACCATCTATGAAGCAAACAAACAGACCATTTTCTTGTGAATTTGCTGTTAGTAACCTTTAGGGCGGGAGGTTACATCCAACATCCTAACACCCCTACAATGACTCTATTAGACTTGACAGGGAGGTGCACAAGGAAGAAAGATGCCAATTAACATGTAATTAGACCAGATTACAACGCCAAAGACCAACAGACCATACATAATTCAAAGAGAAGAACACACTAAAATGAAGAGAATTTTAATTTGTGTGTAATCTTTATGTTGATCCTTCAGACTGCTTCTTCCTTTTTTGTGATAACCCTTACACTGCTTTATGCAGGCCACATTTGCGATTTACAGGATTGAAAAGGATGTTACCAGACTATGTTCAAACATAAATATGACCATCACAATACAGATGAAAATCTCACAGGATGACTTTTACTAGTTTTAGAAAAATTATAACAAATAATATAGAGAGATGTTGTATTTTGAGGTGCTAAGAAAAGAATGCCAGCGGTGGTGAACACTGACACCTGCTGGAATACACACAAAAAAAATCTGAAGAATGTGAAATAAAGCGATTTTCACAGAGACCTCTAGCGGCAACAGAACAAGACGACAAAGTCGATGAGGATGGTTAAGATGTAATAAATACAACTGATACCCAGGCTAAAAGCATTAACCATACCCATTATCAGAATGGGGGGAAAGGAAAAAAAAAAAACCACCACACCGCAAACCAGAGCAACCACTTTTTACAACTAAGGATGCACTCATCGACAGACTCTGTTCTGGAATCTCAATTACATCACAGAAAAACAAAGGGAGCAGTGAAATCCTACCAAATGCATTGTACTAAAGCTGAAATAAGGTAAGAAAATAGTTGCTGCCCTTTAACTGCAACAGGACAACAATCAAGTGTCTTTAATAATTTACTGTAGCATTTTACAACATTTTAGCATACTTTTGACTTGCCCCACTATACAGAATTTAATAGTTTTATGAGACATTTCATGTAGAGTAGTCAAAATGCTACAAAGCTGGAAAAGTCATCTGCATTTTATCAGTCAGAGAACATAGGACTAGCTCAAAAATGCTCTAAAAAGGAATACAGTATATTACTACCTGAGCTAGAAATGGAAGAAAATACAGACATAGTTCCCAGAAGATTCATCTACAAACAAAAATAAGCTGATGCTACTGTCAGCTACTTACATTTTCCAACAGCATTTCTCTCTCATCCTCCACTTCTTGACTCCATACAGTCATATCATTTTTAGTCTTCTGGGTGACAGTTAATACCGTTAAACGGTTGGCATTCACTTCTGGGAACATTGACTCAAAGTCTAAAAAAAGTGAAACCGGCATGTTATGGCTTGCTCTTACATTTTATTTATGATTCTTCAGTTTCAGACAAATTATTGACCCTACTTTAGAGCCTTCCTTCCATTTAAATCGAAGATACATGTGTGTTTTTCACATCAGATCCAGCAAACACCTGGTTTGAAATGCTGATGTTGCTTTTGTGGAAACTAATGCACCTTGGCAAGGTCCTGTTAAAAGCAACTCAGGGAGTGGAGTTTGCTATTTCAAGACCTCCTATTTATTTGCAAGATGATAAACACTCCACTACTCTGCACATTTCAGAATGGGCAAACAAGTGCCCTTCTTTGCCAAGACACAACACCAAGTATAGTAATATTTTAATATTTTGAACTGAACACCACCACAGTTCTCCACACACGTAAGGTGTGAAGATCCCTATTTTCTGGCTAAGCCAAGTTACGTGATGCGCACTGGTTTTTACATTAAATCTTTCAATAGAAATGCCTCAGATCTACCTCCTAGGACATGGCAGCAGACTCAGTATCAGTAGCGTACTATAGGCAGGAGTTGTGACAGTTCTTCCCCTGGGGCAGAAGAGGCCCAAACCGATCACAATTCTCTCCCTACATCATCTATTGGACTACAAACAGGGATGCACGTGAAACACCAAAGTCACGATTAGGCTTCACGGAGCCTTGTTTTCAGCACGAGAGGAAAAACCGCTCCCAAAATTAAAAGTCAAAAGGTTTTGCTCTTTCTTAGTCTCTGAAAAGTCTGCTCTCTTCAGCATCTAGACCAAGATTTCAGCCAGATCTCAGTCTCTTCTCTCTTTCAGTATATAACTTTTAAAATTAGAAGGTTTCATTCCAATTTAATTTCAATCATTTCCTTCTTGAACAAATTAAAGAAGGAAAGATAGAAAAGCAATGCTTTCAGCAGTTTCATAATTTCAATTTGCTATTTTACTAAAAAGCAGTGCCAAAAGATTTGACTTTGTCACAATCTGGTTTTTGGATAGTGAATTAGCTCCAGAATCTACCTGCTGCTAAAGAAGTAGGTGAAAGTTCCTCCCCGCCCCAGCTGATCTTGAATTAAATGGCATTGAATTTTATATAAAATACAAAGTATTGTCAACAACAAAGTTTCAGTTTTCATTTTATAGTACATATTTTTCTTTTGTAAAATATTAACTCTGGATTACCAGAGTTGTTCTATTACACATTCTATGCCATCAATTACATCAGAGCATTTACTTACATATTTTTACATTTTAAAAAGTTATAATTTCTTAGCTGTCAAAAAAAGTGAAAATATACCTCTTCGTAACAGTTCAGGACAAGCTTGTACCGCACATTCTACCTTTGCATTTTCAAAGTAAGTTTCGGCGTTATTTATTTGCTGTTTCTGTGGAACATCAGCACCCTGAGAAAAATAAAAATTGTAACTTTCCCATTCATTAATATATAACAGGAACAACTTTGTACACCAGACTACGTTTTTGTGACTAAATGTCCACTGATACACCCAAGCAGTTTCACAGAAAGATCACTTGCAATGAGACTTAAAAATCATTTTTCAAATATTAAAAGTGGAACAGATATAGGTACAACCTATTGCTTAAACCTATACAGAAATTTTAAGCTTTATGTATTATTGTAACCGTATTATCTCAAAGCCTTAACCAGTACAGAAATTTTTGAAAAATATCCTTCTGAAACAACGGCCTCAAGTATTCAGTACAACAGCAATTGATAGATTTCAGACATACACACACTACCTGAGCCAGAATAAAACTTTAAAATAAAGTTACACAACAGCTCTAGAGGTCTCAACTATCACTATTTTTAGCCTTAGCTGTTGTAGCTCAAAAAGCAGAATGGTTTTCCAGTAATAGCATTTTTATTCTCTACAGTTTTTTTAGTTCTACGGTTACTAAAAAAACCAAGAAAACAAAACCCAACCCCCCAGATTCTTCTGGGTATGTTACAAGCAGAGCACCTGTACGTTAGATACATAGCATTTAAGCTTTAAATGCCCTTAAGAAGGTGGTAACAACAGCTGCCTCCTTTGGGATAGCAACTGTTATAACAGGTGTAGAATGCGTTAATACAGTTCTTCTAGCTCTCACTATGCCATAATTTACAAGGAATTTCAGTAAGTTTCTGTAAGACTGAAATTACAGTGCTGAGTAGTACATTAAGTCCTACCTAACACCTGTTTGTATCTGAAAATTCTCCCTAGAGAAAACTGTTACATTGGAAACACAGCTTGGCTAGCATTTTTGTTCTAGAAATTAACGTTCCAAGAATAACAAAAAAAATAAACACAACAACAGACAAACAACAGACATTAACTGCAGTTTCAATACACATGTTTTCACATATACCTTGCATTATGATTGCAAAGTCATTGGGACAGATCAGCTGGTACTTTAAGCCTGGCAAACCACACAGTTACACTGGTAAACTTTTCTTCCTAACTACAGGATGCTTCTCTTCCTAGAATGGTGGTTCATTGTGATTTCTTGTCTACTACTCCCACTCTAGCCAGCTAAACACCACTTACAGAGTACATACGCTTAGCAGGCATGCTGTCCTCAAGAGACTATGGCCACTTTCCAAAGATCAGCATCACTTTCTGATATTGGTAGGCTGGTAGGCCCGTTTACTCTGCTCAGGTGAAACTAATGCATCAATCTCAGGTACACAGAAGTCAGAGAAGTCTGCAGTTTCTCTGGCTGGTTCAAGGACTGGTGCACAAGCTTCAGGCACACCGAGCTTTTCTCCTGCTTGCTGCAGCAACCTATGGGAGGTTCCTGTATTCAGCTGACCCCATTGTTCAAATCTGGGTCCTCTCCTAGGATGAGAGGTTTAGCATTTTTGTTAGCTAAATGCTGTTCATGGATTCCTAAACACCACTGGTACGAAGCAGAGCTGACTGTCCTTGACTTTCTGAATACCAGTTGCAACCTGCCTCTGCTCTTTCCACTTTCTCCCTTCCATTCTGGACAGCAACAGCTGCACTGCGCATTTTATTATGCTGGTAATCTTGCTAGAAAGCAGACATGCATTCAGTGCACCTGGTTTGCACTAAATGAACGAGACCAGAATTTTCTGTTGGGCTTTTAATGGAAAGTATGATCCACACAAGCTGAAAAGAATATCTGGGGAGCTCACCAGAAGCTTATGTTTTCTGAACTCTTTGGAATACAACGCTACATTTACAAAAAACCACTATACAATGTTTTTACAATGGAGATTTGCTAGTTGACTTCCAAAGTCTGAGCATGTCGCAACCTCAGAGAGCCTGGAAAGTTGAGTCAGCAGCTAGTAGCAATAAACATTTGTTGAAGCGTTGCAATCACGCTAGCAATTATCAAGCTGCTTGTTCTTAATAGTGCATTTGACTCACTGCAAGCTCCGCCATCATGAAAATGCAGTCTCATTGTGAGACTTGAGGTACATTGATCTGCTTCTCCTGTGTGAATTCAGTGGTGTCAGAACTAAGCAGGCAGATCTAAACACTGTCCAAACTATGTAAGTCCAGGTCCACTAAATGATATACTGAAGCAACTACCAATTCCACTTAATAAAAGGTGGTGAGACTTAGTAAACAGCAAGTTTTCAAACTGAAGTTTTCTTTTCCCATATCCATATAATTAAGTCACTACTAAAATGCTATTTCACTAGGCACTACTTAGTCAAAAAACCCACACCCTGAAATATTTCTTCCTCCTGAAAGAAAAAACTTCAGCTCGGTTCTATGTAACCTCTCGCTCACCCCAGCTGAAGTCCATCTTTCAAAACCATCTAGAAAATCAACAATATCTTCTTTCAGGAGGAAAAGAGCTTAGTTGTGTTTCTCTTGGACAAGAAATATCAGTTTCACATAGAAGAAGCCTGTTCTTACCTGAAATTCATTTATGTATTGTGCCATTACAAATTCATGCCTTTCGCTTGCTGAAGGCTCTGCTAATATATCAGGCAGACTTTTCGAAACCTGGCCTTTCTGCTGAGAAGCAGTGCCATTTAGGTGACAGTCAAAACCAATGTTACCAGGCAACTGGAATCTCTGGTCCTGAGGACCAAATGGACCCATCACTTCATCTGGCCATACAGTTCTCGGACCTGTAAAAGTCAAGGCCTTGCTTTAGTCATCACATCTAAAAAGAAATAAAAAGAAAAAAAAGAAGAAAAAAAACCTTTCCCATACAAATATCTGTATTTGATCACAACCATATATAAGCAAAGTAACCACAATGCACAAGTAAAAGTAAGGGCCCTGACATAAAAAGCACACTTCAGAATTCCCAAATGTATACGGGGTGCAAAGTTCTGATAGCACACGAATTCAAAGAAAATTAATTTGCTTTTTCTTACATAAATCAGGAGGTGTAGCAGCAACATGAGGCTCATCTGAGCCAGAGGAACCTGCTGTAGAAAAAGCCTTGGGATTTACAACTCTTTTGACTAAGGAATAAAACCCTGGTAGGTAGGTGACCAATCTTGCTCTGTTACAGAGCACCTGAGAAGACAAAAACAAAATAAGCATTACATACTGCTAGCAAAAATACTAGGTTAAGTACAGCTTTGTGGATCACAAGAGAAATCCCCACTCGATAATTAAATTACAATTTTAATTATGATCAACTGTATTTCTGTAAAATCAAGTTTTAAAAGTATTTTATTATTACTTTTATATTTTACTAGTAGCAGTATTCTAAGTAAAGGAAAAGCCTCAAAAACACTTACTGAAAGGCTGCCTCATGTGAGGAAAAAACCCTGAAAAGCTTAAATGCATCACTGAAACCCCACAACCTATACTAAGTTATTGGATTAGGATTGTTTCTGTGATTATTTCCATGCATGTCATGGTTTCCATGATTGCCACAACTCAATCACAGGATTGATTATCAGAAATACCTAGAAATATTGTTAATTAAGTAAACACTGACATCCAAGACGTTTGCCTTGAAGGCTAGCGCAAGCGCTAGCCAGCCTATATTCCTACTTCTTAAAAGACTGGAGGGAGACACAAGGTACCATCACCCCCGATACATCTTCTAGCTTTCACCTAGAAGCATGCATACGTGTGTGCTTACGCACATTTCTTTGCCAGCAAAGTACACATACGAACAGCTCTGAACTATACAGGGAAATACGCACATCAAAACAGCTAGGTATGGCAACTTCAGCTTCCTTCTTTTGCCTTCAAAATCCATAAACATTTAACACGTGCAAAAATTAAGTTCGTGCAACCAATGTTATTTAGATTTGCAAACTCCTTGCATTCACATATTTATAAACAAGTGTTACTGCAAACAGATCAGAATCGTGGGCAAAATGCCAATAAGCCATAAAGCCTTTAGAATGCTGCGGTCTTGGAATACACCAGAAAATCTGTTTCCCACCCCAGAGCTGTACTGTCAACATAACTTTCAATTGCTGGAGATGATTCCATCAGAAGCTGACTCAGCCACACAGCAAACAGAACATGATGCAATGCTAACTCCCTGAGCATGCAAATGGTCTCAACAACAGGGCTCCAAAGAGCGAATGGCTCCTCTCCACGAGGATTAACTCCGAGGTGCGATGACAGTATCTTCAGTAGTCATATGAGCAACTGTTACTGGGGTTTTTTTGTAGTTTGTGTTTTGTTTTTTTAAGGAAGAAATGTCCAGGTGATGCGATTAAACTGAAAAGTCTAATCTATTTTTTATACTTTAAAAATAGATTGGTAATTTTCATAATGCGTTTACACATGCATAACACAAAAATAACCAATCATACACTCAAAATGTAGAGTTAGAAGTGTAATTTTTAAAAAATTAAAGACTACTTAACTCTAGCACAAAACTACTAATACTCTTGACTACAGCTGCACAAAAGCAAGCATTACTGGAGAATATAAATCCACCTGCCATAGCACGTGTGCTTTCATAAAACTTTATTTTCCAGGTGATGGAAAGGAATTCTTTCGAGAAACTGACATAAAGGGGTTTTCCTTAAGTGCTGTATCCTTGATTCTGTAGAAGTTTGTGCATGTGTACACTAAACAGGTATGCAACAAGGTTACTCCAAAAAAAAAAAAAAAGTGAGAAAATGGTACTATTTGTATGTTTAAGATAAAAACTCTATTCAAAGTAACAGGACCTAAGCCAATAAGCATCAGTTTCCTACATACCACCTCTGCATAAATATACACTGGCTAATAAGTTCTACCAACATCATGAAGACTCAAATGCATAAAGCCATGTTTGATATTCTGACTTAAATCGAGTATTTACGGTCAAGGCCTTAAGCCATCTAGTTCTAAAACACCGCTAGATTTAAAAGGTTCCTGTAACAACAAAAGTCTGCTGATTCCACTTAAATGTTTTTTTGCATAATGATTATCTTACAGGTAAAACAGATGTAAACAATTACAGCTGACGTAATTACAAGAAAAGAGCATTTTTCTTATCATCAGGATCACTTAACATGGAGATGTTAGTGTTAATTACAGATATGTTGACTGAGCTCACTTAGGCAAATATTTACATGCCTAGCATTACACAAGTGAAAAAATACCGCTGAAATCAGTAAGTTATTCGTGTCTCCGTGGCAAGACTAAATCAATAAAGGGTGTTTTATTTGTCAGTCTGAAAGCAGCCTGGTGAACCTGAGCGTTTCACCTTAACTCATGACATTAAAAAAAACCCCCCAAAACTCCCAAACAACAGATTCTACTTAATCCTCAATTCAATTACCCCCATAATAGCCACAGAAATCGGCGTCCAAAACTTAGATGGAAGGATAACGATATCACTGCCTTCTAATAAAAATGTACCTTGCTATAACTGAGGGTTTCATCACGGACTCCCCCATAAGCACAATGATTTAAAGACAGCTTTAAAGGGGAAATAACACGCAAGCGCCCCGCACCACACGGAGAAGCGCTCTGCCTCGACGGCGCCGGTTTGCCTCCCCACCGGGCCGAGGCGCAGGCGCTTTACAGCCCTCCGCGTACCGCACACCGGCGGGGACGGGGGGCCGCTACGGCGCTACCGGCCGGGGGGCGGGATCCGCGTTACTCACATTGGCCATGGCAGACGGTGGGCTCCCTCTCGCCTGAAGGCCCGGCTGCCCCTGGAAGAGAAGCGAACGCACTGGCCTCCACGGCACCGTCCGGAGCGGGGCTGCCCGCCCCACCTCCTGCCCGCCCCCCGCCCGGCC